CCCCCCACACACTCTTCGAGTTGTGTATAGCGAACATGACAAAACATAATACACACAGCATAATCACTACCTTCCCCTTCCCCAACCACATCAATAAACAAACTACAAACTACGGGCTGCGCGCCCGTGCCCTCACGGTAAGTCCATGCGAGTGTCAGTGGGTTGCATCTGGTGTGTGAGGGACTGTTGGCCTTAGACACAGCTGTTATTCGGTTGCGGGCATGTACGATAAATCAAATATCCATATTGATAATTATAATAATCTAATTATGTTATAAATACAATATCAATTTGGGGACACTGAAAAGGAAGGCACAGCAGCTACTGGCAAAATGCTCGGTCTTTGCGTTAGCCGGACCCCCACCGGCGGCCCCAAGGTTGAGGCGGGGGCAAAATTTGCTCGGCCTTTGCGTTAGTTGTGGACCCTTACCGGCGGCCCCACCCCATCCTTGACCACCAGGGTTGGGGCAGGGGGGGAGCAAAATGCACCCCCTCTGATGGGGAGGTATGGAGGGAGACAACAAAGATATGTCCACAGGGGTCCACTGTATAAGCCTTCGGAGTAGTGGTCGGTAGATGAAGCAATCCATTTGTGAGTCATAAGAGGGGCACCAGTCAAAGCAACTTTGTTGCGAGTTCGAAAACAACAGACAAAACCATAAAGACTCAGGATCCAACACCATAATAAGAGACTACCTTCATGATTCGACCAAGTTCCAGAAACTTTATAAAACAATGGTAAATGAATTGAAAGAATTAAAAAAGGGCACCAAAAAAAAAAAAAAAAAAAAAAAAAGTGGTCGGTAGGTAGTGAAGATGAATTGGAAGAATTCAAAAGGGCACCAAAAAAAAAAAAAAAAAAAAAAGGTTGTTAAACTACCAACAGGCCTAGCTTAGTTTGGAAGAACTTTATACACCTATGAACTGTGTTGAAATTTGAAATACAGACACGAGGGCAAATTTGAAATTCATCCAGATGGACGGAACCTATTGGATGAATTTCTTGAATTACTGGTGGCCTCTAAGTTCCATGATGATATTCTTTTATTTTTTTTTTAATGATGATATCCTAAGGCCGTGGTGACGTCATCCTTTCTAAAAGAGAGAGAGAAAGGAAAAAGTTGTTAAATTATTGCACAGATAAGCTTCGATGGAGGGTTTTTTTTTTTTTTTTTTTTTTTTTTCCGATCCTCTCTTCAAGTTTTCATTTTATTTTTTGGAATAAGTTCGATGTTCAACAGAAGTAGGTGGGAGGCGCAGCTACTAGCCAAATGATCGGTCTTTGCGTTAGCCACGTGGGGGACCACCACAGATTTGGGTGGGGGACCACCACAGATTTGGGTGGGGGGCACCATCCATCCACTTATCTGAGAGGTAGCTATGCTTGCGGGGGTCCCCTGTATAAGCTTAGGAGTAGATAGTGAGAGGTGAAATTGAGATGAAGAATATAGCTTAGTTTCTTTTTTTTTTAATTTCAACTGTGGCAATGCACCTTCAGTTCCCCAAGTGATGCATGTCATACTCCCATTTGGGATGTTTTCCACTAATGCCTGCAACTCCCCCGATAAGATGTTTTCTAATGAATCTGACCGGATTATGGTGTCAGATACATCATCCAACAAAGGTATAGACCGTATAGGTACTATAGGGTGACTATGGCCGTAGAGCCATGCCCCTCAGTTGAGACCAAACCGGCGAAACCGCATCGATCTCACACAGCCAGAAACCCCTCAGTAGACCTTTGTTCCGAAAAGATCAGGCAGCATTGACGAGAAATTTTCAGAGTTTTTTGTGCACGATCCTGAGAGCAGCAAATTGTCAAAGTCTGTGTGCCGGGCCCACGCACGTGGCTGGTAGACTGATCACCTCCTTGCCCCCGCCGTGATGTGGCGCAGTTACGGGAATGCTATTTTTGATTGCCCGGGGAACTGGCGGTTTAAGCCTTAAGGGGTCACATCGGTCCCTTCATAGACCCAGCTCCCCACCAATAGATGGAGCTTCAGGCTCTGAAGGGGCAGTCCAAAGACCCAAGGGCATTCCTGTTGCAGCAGGCTTTTTTTTTTTTTTTAATCAGAC